AAAAACACATTTTTAACAACTTAAAAAGAATGAGAAGTGTTACATTGTTCTATATTTTTGCAAATATCCTTAATATCGGGCAAATAATTTTGCTTTTACGTACTCTGAGAAAGTCTTGAGGGACCCACCCCCAGGTGTCCTTGGACCACACTTTAAGAAATGATGATCTAACTCGTACCATTTTTAAAGACAGTGTTTTATTTTTCAGATGCAGATGACTGTCTTCATTGTCCAGAAGATCAATATCCCAACAAAGCTCAAAATGTTTGCATTCTGAAGAGTGTAAATTTCTTGTCCTATAAAGAACCATTGGGAATTGCCTTGGTGACTCTTAGTCTCTTCTTTTCTTTCATCACAGCTTTGGTGCTGGAGATCTTTATTAAACAGCGGGACACCCCCATGGTCAAAGCCAACAACAGGAACCTCACCTACATTCTTCTCATTGCTCTCATGCTCTCCTTCCTTTGCACCTTGCTCTTCATTGGCCAACCTAACCAGATGAAATGTCCTTTGAGACAAACTGCTTTTGGCATCATCTTCTCTGTAGCCCTTTCTTGCATATTGGGGAAAACAACCATTGTGATTCTTGCTTTCATGGCCACCAAGCCAGGCTCCAAAATGAGGAAATGGGTGGGGAAAAGACTGGCTATTTCTATTGTCCTATTTTGCTCCTTGGTGCAAGTCATAATTTGTGCTGTATGGTTGGTAATTTCTCCCCCATTCCCAGATTCAGATATTTCCTCCATGGCTGAAGAAATTGTCCTAGAATGTAATGAGGGTTCAGCCATTATGTTTTATGCTGTCCTTGGCTTTCTGGGGTTCTTGACTGTGGTTAGCTTCACCGTGGCCTTCCTTGCTAGGAATTTACCTGACAGCTTTAATGAAGCTAAATTCATAACCTTCAGCATGTTGGTCTTTTGCAGTGTCTGGATATCCTTTGTTCCCGCCTATCTAAGCACGAAGGGCAAATACATGGTGGCTGTGGAGATCTTCTCCATTTTGGCTTCAGCAGCTGGATTACTGGGCTGTATCTTTT